GCCTATCATCCTCCCCCCTGGCCCCCACCTCTGAGCGGTGAGTGGGGACCCTAAATACTAATAAGGGGGGACCTAATGTCCTCCCCCCTGGCCCCCACCCCGAGCAATAAACATCCAATAACTCCAATTTTTTATTTTTTGCAAAACATTGCACAAAAAACCTAATAGAACCACTGGGAAGACCCATCATTAGTTGGATTAATTCAATAACAGCCCATCTGTTGCAATTTATAGACCATCATTTACACAAATACGCCCAGGAAGCTCCCTCATACATACGGGACTCAGCCCACATTATTGAAATTTTAGATAACAAACAGTGGGAAAAGAATTTTATATGGGTAACGATTGATGTTACGTCTTTGTACACCATCATCAAACACGATGTGGGGATGGCAGCAGTGGAGAAAATTATAAAAGATAACATACAGAGTTCCTTAAGAAATTTTCTACTAAAGGGTATACATTTCATCCTCCACCATAACAATTTCTTTTTTGATGGGGATTTTTACCTACAACAAAATGGTACAGCCATGGGGACCAGGTTTGTCCCCAGCTATGCCAACATATACATGAGAGACTGGGAATCCAACTCAATATGGGGGGGGCATAGCTGGGCTGCAAACTATGGAGACGTTTTATAGACGACGTATTGTTAATATGGAAAGGAACACAACAGGAACTAGAAGAGTTCCTGCAATACTATCCTAGAAGAGTTCCTGCAATCCTGTTTATTAATATAAACAATTACGGTTTAAAATTCACTCACACATATAATAAAGATAGTATTAATTTTCTGGATATAACATTTTACATCAACCACGGCAGAGTACATTCAAAATGTTATTTTAAGGAGATTGAAGGGAACAGCTTCATACATAAAAAAAAAAGCTGCAACCATGAAAATTGGCAGAACTCAATACCCAAGAGCCAATTAATCTGAATCAGGAGGAATTGTTCGAGAGATAATGATTATTACGAACAAGCTAGTCATTTATCTGACAAGTTAGTATCTAAAAAATATGATAAAAAAGTTCTTAAGCAAGAGGTATCCACCATAGGAGTATTAAATAGAAAGGAACTATTAAAACGAAAGAAAAAAGATCAGACACAGAGGGAAAATTACAAATATGCTTTTATCACTCAGTTTAATGTACAGCACTATGAGTTGAAAAAAATCCTAAACAAACACTGGGACATTTTGTTGAAGGACCCGATTTTAGGGAAGGTTCTCCCAAAAAAAGCACCAGTAATTTTTAAAAAGGCAAGAAATTTAAAAAATATATTGGCACCTAGTTATGCCTTAAAAAACCCACAAAAAAAACCCCAGTTGAGGGGAGAAAAGGTTTTAATTCATGCAATAGAGGCAAGGCTTTTAGAACACAGAGATTATTAAGCATGAAGAAATTTAAAAGCACCATAACAGGGATAGAGTTTAATATAAAATCAGAAATAAATTGTGAAACCAAAAATGTAATATATGTTCTACAATGTCCTTGCGGGAAGCAATATGTGGGACGAACCTGCAGGAAATTAAAGGAACGCATTCTGGAATACCAAAATAATATTAGAAAGAAATTAAACAAACATATAGTTCCAATTCATTGCAACACATGCAATAAATTAAACTGGAAAGAATTGTATTATCTAGGTTTGGAAAAAATAGAAAATTATTGGAGAGGTGGAAACCTAATAAAAAAAGTTGGGCCAACGTGAAACATATTGGATTAACACATTGAAAACCCTACAACCTAGGGGGTTAAACCTAGATATAGATTTATGGTGTTTTTTAGATTAGATAATTGTAGCTATTGCATCAAGGTCTGTACTTTCAACTTTGATCACTCTACCTGACTTTCATCTTATGGTGTTTGGAAATCTTTTTAGTACTGATTTCTGCTTTACAATTATGTCCTTTGGGTCTTTTCCTTTTTTTAAGTTTATTGAACGATGCATAATATTGTAAGAGGGTTTCTCTGCCTGACTATATGTCTAAATTTAAAGTTTCAAAGAACTTAACTGAATCAATACATCCAATACATTGAAAGTTAATTCACAATTGAACTAGTTATTCAAGTATATATACACCTCTCTAGCGCAATCACTTTCTTAAAAAAAAATAAAAAAATTAGTCATACATATTTCTTTAAATCAACTAAAACCACTTTTTATAAGGTAAAATTATATATGCACAATATTATGGATCAATTTGGATTAACCCCTTAAGGACTGGACTGTTTTTGCGATGTTGTACATTTGCGACCAGGAATATTTTTACACTTTTCTGGTGTTTGTGTTTGGCTGTAATTTTCCGCTTTCTCATTTACTGTTCCCATACAAATTATATATTGTTTTTTTCAGGACAAAATGGGCTTTCTTTACATACCATTATTTATATAATCTCATGTATTTTAATTTAAAAAAAATACAAAAATCTGATGAAAAATTGAAAAAAATACATGTTTTTTGACTTTTACTTGAAAAATCTTTTACTCATCTACAAAAGCGAATGAAAAAAACTGCTAAATAGATTCAAAATTTTGTCCTGAGTTTAAAAATACCTAGTGTTTACGTGCTTTTTTGCTTTTTTTTGCATGTTATAGGGCTATAGGTACAAGTAGGATATTGCGGTTTCAAAACATACATTTTTAAAATTTATCAATAGTGACATTGTAACACTATTATCTGTCATAAATCTCTGAATAACACCCCACATGTACATATTTTTTTTAAAGTAGACAACCCAGGGTATTCAATATGGGGTATGTCCAGTCTTTTTTAGTAGCCACTTAGTCGAAAACACTGGCCAAAGTAAGCATTCATATTTGTTTGTGTGTGAAAAAGTAAAAAAACTAAATTGAACGCTAATTTTGGCCAGTGTTTGTGACCAAGTGGTTACTAAAAAAGACTGGACATACCCCATTTGCAATACCTTGGGTTGTCTTCTTTTGCAAATGGTATGCCATCATGGGGGTAATTCTCATTCCTGGGCTACCATACGCTCTCAAAGGCAACGTAACCAACCTGGCCATTTTCAATGTAAAAATATTTGACCCATATATTTGACCTTGTAACTTTCAAAAATGCTATAAAACCTGTACATGGGGGGTACTGTTTTACTCGGGAGACATCGCTGAACACAAATATTAGTGTTTAAAAACTGGAAAACGTATCACAACAATTATATCATCAGTAAAAGTGCTGTTTGTGTGTGAAAAATGCAAAAAAAGTAACTTTCACTGACAATATCATCGCTGTGATATGTTTTACTGTTGTGAATCACTAATATTTGTGTTCAGCGAAGTCTCCTGAGTAAAACAGTACCCCCCATGTACAGGTTTTAGGGTGTCGTAGAACGTTACAGGGTAAAATACAGTGCTAGCAAATTAAATTCTCTGGAATTTCGGCCTGGGTTGGCAGGCAGGTCCCTCAAATTGCAATCAATAAAATTACTGAATTATGTAAAAATATTACATAAATACGCACGTAGAATTTAAATATATATGCATATTTATATATTTGAAGTCTACGTGTATATTTATATAATTATTTATGTAATTTTGTATATGGACGTATGTATATTTCTTATTATTTTTATTTATTTTTATATACATAGATATATATACAAATTCATTCTAAGTGTATTTTGATATAAATATATATATATATAATTTTAAAATACAGTTAGAATAAAATTTCATATAGCTATATAATTTTTTTAAATTTTTTTATTATTTAAAAAAAAATTATTTAATTTAAATTACTTATTATTTATATTTTATAATAATATATATATACAATATATATAGTTATTATATATATTATATATATACGTGTGTAATTTAATTATAAGTGTATTTTTATATTAATATAAGTACATATTAATATAAAAATACACTTAGTATGACATTATATATATGATATATAGACATATATTATATAGATATAATATATGTCTATATATCATATTACACATATATAATTTTTTTTATTACCATTAACTTTAATTTTATTCTGATTTTACAGTTGCAGGAGACTGCCTGTCAGTACAGACAGTCCCCCTGCAGGCAGCACTATGGACACCTATTGTGACCATGTGATCGCTGTGTTAAGCGATCACATGGCCACAGGGGTCCTAATCTGCCGTGGGGAGACTGTCTGGGCTGCAGGCAGTCTCCCCACAACCGGAAACACTGATCGCCGCCGGGGGAACGACGGCGATCAGGTAAGTACCCCCAGACCGTTTGGACGGTTCAGGACCGTCATCGGTCGGCAAGGCAAAAATGCCGATGACGGTCCTGAACCGTCCTCGGTCCTTAAGGGGTTAATATATCAAATTCACTAAAAATTAATTCATATTCTAGTCAGTAAATTAAGTATGTATATTTTTTTTTAGATAAATCACTTCTCTAGAAATTCATAGAATTTTATGGCAAGACAGGAGGCTTCATATTTGCTTATCTTTCTTTACTGTAACTCCCAGCAGCAAAGAAACAGTTAACAGCAGTGTAAAAAAAGTTTAACCAATCAGTAAGCATTACAGTAGTATAAACTGTCATCAGGCTCCTCCCAATTCCTCTTTCTTTGCTGCTTAGCCTCCCAGGTGAGTCTATTCTAATTATACTCCTATTAATGCTCTATTTTAGCTGACTAATATATATTGTGTATTATTTTGATAATTTTTCATTTCCCATACAGTTTTCCTATATCTGTTTCTACTTTTACTTCTATTTTTCTTATTTCATGGGCTGACACTCCAGTCAGCCCAACAATTCATATTACAACACTTTTCTTCAATACTTTAGTTTTTTTGGTACTGTCAGTTTAATTTCCACTTTCCCCGCGGCGCCTGGCATCTTGCCGGTCCGCTCAGCCGCTCAGTTTTCCTCACACACTATGTGTGTTGCCCTGGCGTATCCATAGAGACGTTTCCCGCCTTTTTTCATGCCGCGGCCATTTCTATTAGATTTTTCCCGGGCTTCCCTCTCAGCGCCATCTTGTGGCAAGCTTATGCGCGGCGGTTCCCTCGCACCTCGGCTCTCACTGCAGGACGCGACCCAGCCGTTTTGGTAAGTACATATTTTATCTCTTAAAGCCCCAGACCCTTTAGTTTTAAAACTTAAAGACACATACCCATATTACAAACTTTCATATTTTCTTGCAGATTTCAACTTTATTACACAAATCCTTGCTTAACTCTGAGGGTGACCCCCTCCAGCCTTTACTCTGAGAGTGACCCCCTCTAGCCTTCCTTCAAGGGTGACCCCCTTTGCTGCCTCTATACAGGGTAACCCCTATATGATAACACAGGCACATACCTGTTTAGATCTTGGACACTATACTGTCCTTTCTCTTTCTGGGTGAACCCCACTGATAAATTCTGTAAGATCCCATCTGTTACAGGATAATTGCTCTCCTGCTTTTTTACATGCAGTCTAAGTCCACCGCCTCATTGTAATTAGTTTGTCTGCACAAAAAAATTAAATAAAAATAAAAATAAAAAAAATATAAAAAAAAATAAAAAATTTTTTTTTATATATATTGTAAATATAATAATTGATTTCTTTTGTGGTGACCCCACTGTTACTGGCATTATGTCGGATGTGCCAGAACCAGCAGTTTCTGCCGAACTTAAGGCTTGGCTATTCAATGCCATTACTGAATCTATACCCAAAGCTCTTGCGGCTTTCCGCGAGCAAACAACCCCAGCCCCTACGGCGACCATTACCCAACTCTCAGACTCCGAGGATTCTCACGCTTCAGAGCATGAGGAAGCCCATCGCAAACGCCCTTGGAAGGGCGATAGCGCCACCGCCGGTAAAGGCAAAGCGCCTGCTAAACATCCTAAAGTGCCCTATTCTAAACCCAAGCAAACCACATCCCAACATGATTTTGACGCATTCGAGGGTTCAACCTCTAATTATAATCTCCAAGTATTAGACGAATACTATGCAGAACACTCGGATACTGAGGCTCCGCCTCATAAGACATTCCGAGACCTTTACCCTTCCGATTCTGCAACTAATGAACCCCTAGAGGAATTCCAATTGGAGTCTGATCTCACCTCTGAAAACCCTAACTTAAAAGAGGATACCTTATTTGACAACTCTGGCCGCCCTTTATTTGACCCCAGATGCATCAGGCACCCTAGATCGGCCGAATGGACGCCCCCGGACCACATTGCCAAATACTGTAGAATGTGGCTCCGTCGGCCTTTAGAAAAAGAGGTGAGAGCCAAATTAAGGGCAGAATGCCCACGTCCCATTATCCCAGACAAGGTGGCCAATACACCCGAATTTGACCCTTTCCTTGTGACCTTTCTAACCAAGTCAGGGAAAGACCCCCGTAAGGGCCTAGAACAGGGTCTGAAAGCCACTCAAGACAAATTGATGGATGTGGCGGGCCCGCTCATACAAATCTTCATTATTGCAGACGAGGCTCTATCAGGTGGCACATTTGATGCACATATGGTGCGAGAGTGGGCTCAAAGGGCCTTATGCCTTTTAGGCAATGCCAATGTGGCAATATCAACTGAACGGCGGAAGGCCGTCCTTTATAAAATCGATGCCAAGCTTGCCGAATTGGGCACTAAAGAACTTGGTCCAGAGGCTCAAGGCATGTTATTCGGAGACAAGTTCATAAAAGAACTAAGTAAGCATGTCTCTGTTTTTACCACGCTGACAAAGGCACAATCCTCCATTCGCAAGGTATTTCGCACTCAGCGTTTTTCCGGAAGAGCTGGTCGCTATAGAGGCCGAGCGACTGGCAGAGCCGCCTTCACGGGCTACAGGCCTCAACCTTCAGACACCTGGAACTCAGGCAATACCCGATTCCACCACAGGCAATTCTTCCCCTCTCACGGAGCTATCCGAGGACGTGGATCCGCTTCTCTCCGCGGTCGCACTGCTACAGGTAATGGACCTTCCTTATTCTCATATTCCTATTGCAGGCCGGTTAACCCTTTTTTCCCAACAGTGGTCTCAACTCACTCAGGATCCTTGGATCCTTCAGACGGTGTCCGGGTTCCACCTGGAATTTTCAGTAGTACCGATACAAAATTCTCCTCCTACCCCAATCAAAATGTCACTATTAGACGAGTCGACTCTACGGAGCGAACTCGACGATCTATTCACCAAGGGTGCGATCGAAAGAGTTGTTGGTCCACAGACCTTCATAAGCAACATGTTTCTAGTCAAGAAAAAATCAGGAGGTCTACGACCTGTCATCAACCTGAGAGATCTGAACAGGTTCATCACATACCGTCACTTCAAAATGGAGGGGATCCATTTATTGAGAGACCTACTCTCCGAGGGAGATTGGTTCTCCCGCTTCGATCTAAAGGATGCATACCTCACGGTGCCGGTAACACCAGCACACCGCTGCCTCCTTCAGTTTCGTTGGGAACAAGCACTATGGCAGTTCACCTGCCTCCCCTTCGGCCTATCTTCTGCACCCTGGTGCTTTACCAAACTAATGAAACCAGTGATGGCATTACTGCGCTCCCAAGGAATCCGCTCCATAATCTATCTGGACGATATCCTCCTCATGGCACAAGACCAGGAAACTCTCCACCTTCACACAAGCATGACCTCCGCCCTATTGCAGAATCTTGGCTTCGTGATCAATCACCAGAAATCATCCCTAACACCGTCCCAGACGATACAATTCCTGGGATTCCAGATAGACTCTGTTCAAGCAGTCCTTCAACTTCCGGCATCCAAAGTCAAATCCATAAAAAGAGACATTCGGAGGTTACTGATATCACCACACCTCCGTCTGCGGGACCTGGCCCGCACCATCGGCTTGCTCTCCGCCTCAATACAGGCTATATTCCCTGCCCCACTGCACTACCGAGCACTACAACGCCTGAAGACCCAATACTTACATCAGTCGACGTCCTACGACCAACAGATCACACTTACGGACGAAGTCCGGCTCGAACTCCATTGGTGGCTACAACATATGGACGCTTGGAATTGCAGAGCCATTTTCGGATCCCAACCAGACTTCGTCCTGGAGTCGGATGCAAATCTGCTCGGATGGGGCGCAACTTGCTCGGAAAGCTCTACAGGAGGACTCTGGTCCCACTCGGAACGAGCACTTCATATCAATTGCCTCGAACTGATTGCAGGCTCATTCGCAATCCGCAGTTTCGCCAAGGATGTCTACAACTGCTCCGTGGTGCTGAAGATGGACAACGTGTCCGCAGTTCGTTACGTGAACCATCTAGGAGGTTCCAAATCGAAGATGCTCTCAGATCTGACCAAAGAATTATATCAGTTCTGCCTAGACAGGAATATCTCCCTGCGAGCGGAATATCTACCGGGATCAGACAACCTCGTCGCAGATTGGTTCTCCCGACACTGGAGGGACTCCAGCGATTGGCAACTGAATCCACAAATATTTCACCGTCTCCAGGCCTGCCGGGGACCATTCAACCTAGACCTCTTTGCATCTCGCCTCAACAGGCAGACGGACGCTTTTTACAGCTGGTTGCCAGACCCAGCGTGCCTTGCAGTCGATGCCTTCCTACAGACGTGGCCGATGTCCGGGGCATATGCATTCCCTCCTTTCTCCATGATTCCACGCACACTACAGCACCTCAGAACTCAGGGTGCCAGGATAACACTAGTGACCCCGCTATGGCGGGCCCAACCATGGTATCCTTACCTCCTGGAAATGTCAGTGGATTTTCCCCTGCTGCTACCCAGCACCTGCGACCTCCTCAGAGACCCGACAGGCAACTTTCACCCATTGGCAATTCAGGATCATCTCCAACTAGTGGCTTGGACCGTTTCAGGGGATCTTGGAATGTCTCAGGCCTTTCGACAACTGCTCAGGGACTCCTTTGGGACTCATGGGCCCCCGGGAACTAGACGCTCTTACATCTCTGCATGGCGCCTATGGAGTTGCTGGTGCCTGGAAAGGGACCTTGATCCCTTTTCAACATCTATAATTAATATTATCAATTTCCTTTCGTCTCTGTTCGACCAGGGTAAATCCTACCGGACCATTAACGTGTTTCGGTCTGCTATTTCTACAGCACACGTTCCTATCGAAAGTTCTTCAGTAGGCAAACATCCTTCCATCTGTAGACTCTTGCGGGGCATACGCATCGCTAGACCCCCGAATCCCAAATATAATCAATTCTGGGACGTGGCCATCATGCTCACGTTCTTGGAAGCTTGGCCGGACAACGAGGCGCTCTCCCTACGCCAATTATCAGCCAAACTAGCTCTCCTCCTTTGCTTGGTCTCCTTCCGAAGAGTTTCCGACATCAGGGCTTTCGACTTTCATGCCCTCGATTTCACACCGGAGGGGGTACACTTCAATATCACTAGACGCACCAAGACCAACTCGTCTACTGTGAGCTACCCTTACTTTTCGGAGAAACCCCTCCTCTGCGTAGCCCGGTGTATACGACACTATATTGCCCGCACTACCCCTCTCAGACCACCTACTGGGCCCCTCCTGGTGTCTTATGTACGACCTCACAAACCAGTCTCGTGCCCTACCATTGCACGTTGGATTAAATGGCTTCTAGCCCTGGCTGGCATTGATGCTTCTTTCGGGGCTCACTCGGTTAGAGGCGCAGCCGCCTCCTCAGCACTCATAGCCGGAGGTTCCTTAGCGGAAATTCTAGCCTCCGCTGATTGGTCTAGAGAATCCACCTTCCGTACCTTTTATTTCAGACACTCTCCACACGTTTCTCTGTCTTTGCTATCTGTGCGTTAAAATAGCAAATATGAAGCCTCCTGTCTTGCCATAAAATTCGGGATTATTCTAACTCCTAGTGACCGAATAATCTAAATTTTATTAAAGACAGGAGGCGAATATTTTCCCACCCTGGATTTCTTTTTACCCACCCTTTTAGGTAAGTATCCTGTACTATCTTCAGTTCTACCATGACTAGCATCCTCTCTTTTCTCTAGCCTATACACATTAGGTCGCTATTATATGCTAAACCCGTTTTCAATGGTACATTGGATATTATATTCTATTCTAGGTATGTCACTTACTCTGCATATCACACAGTTAATTATCATAGTTAGAGCTTGCACTTAAATTGAAATTCAGTTCACTGCATTTAATTTGGGTTTTCTCTTGCCAAAGAGACCAATACTTTCACGATGTTTCTCCTTCCTCCTAGTGTGAAGATCATTTGCCTTCTGTCTCGAATCTACCCGCGGGTTGATCACTACCTTCATCCTACCGGATACCTACACCGTTA